GGTCAAGTGAATCACACAGACGAGCATTACTGTAGTCTACTGTTCGTCACATCAAGTTTTTTCGATGTAAAAACCGATTTATCTCCGAGTACAGAAAAAGCAAGCTGATTGTAGAAAAACTGTTTAGGATAAATCTTCAAAAAATGTTTTAATGAACTCTATTAGCCACAGAGAAATACCACGATCATGATGGATCTCTTAGATATTTGCATGAGTTTAATAGTTTAGTTGATCTGTTTGTTTAGGTGGCAATAGGGCTACAATAATGAGATACTGGAAATTTTGCGGTGACGTGATAGCGCTCACTCTTATTTTTGACAGCAGGAGTTACACAGAGAGTCTATGATTGTGATTGTTTCACAATATTTGTTCTATGATTTTATACAAATTTGTTGTCTCCACTTTCTCTATTGCAAACATCAGATAGCCTATGTGTTATACTTTAGATGAATCATTGAGTCTTGAAGAAATAGCTCCTACCAATTCAATGCTAATGATTAGATTTTAATGAAAGTGTTACATCTGAGAGCTCATCTCATAATAATTCAAGATTTTGAATATTGAGTATTCATAAAGATCAGAACTATGTCAAATATTGATTCCAAGAATTAAATGAACTGTGATCTCTTTCTCGTGCACAGGGTGAACAAAAGTTGTGGCAAAAATTTTCCCCTTTTATAAAATTTTTGTTAAGAAGCTATTATAAGCAAATGGTGATACGTTATGATAGATCTCATAATGATGTCTCGCATACTGTTATAGCTCTATAATTCAACGGTTCTCTAGCACATATAAATTTAAATATTAGCCCATGGGTCAAACGTTTTCGTACAAAGCAGTAATATTCCATCGAGCATCTAACACTATATACGACAAATAATTGGATGAAGCTGAAAATTTGCAGTCTTAGTGAGACAATATTGTTCATAAAAAATAATTTCAAGAAATCTGCTGGTATCGTAGTTTGGTGAGACTAACAAGAATAACATCTCTAGACGCTTGACGCTCTTACCGATTTGCATTCTGATAGATCAGTTCTTCAAAAAACTTCCAGGATATGTTGAAAGCAGTGCCGCTAGTACATAGTCAAAGCTTCAGCTCATATCTTCATATCACTTCATATCATCTTCTGTAATTTAAAAAGGTTCCGAGTCGTTTTGCACATAAGGCGTGAACGAGATTCTGCACGGCAAAGTACTATTTCTTTCACTTTGAAGTCGAAGTACCTAAGAAATGACATGAAGATATGAGCTGAGGCATTCGATATGTGTTAATGGCACTGCTCCTGGTATATCCTGAAAGTTTCATGGGGAACCGATCTACCAGAATTCAGATCGGTAAGAGCGTCAAGTATCTAGAGGTGTTATTTTTGTCAGTCTCACCAAACTACGATACCAGCAGATTTCTCGAAAACTATTTTTTATGAACAATATTATCTCACTAACAACTACAAATTTTGAAATTTTTTAGCTTCATCTAATTATTTGTTGTATATAGTATTAGATACTCGATAGAGTATTACTGCTTTGTACGAGAACTTTTGGCCCATGGGCTAATATTAAAATTTATATAACGTGCTAGAGAAGCGTTGAATTATAGAGCTATAACAGTATGTGAGACATCGCTATGAGATCTATCACAACACATCATCATTTGCTTATAATGGCTTCTTAACAAAACAATATAAAAAAGAAAAGTATATTCCAGGACTTTTGTCCGACCCTGTAATGATGAGTCGTCAATATGCGCTGCTTCCAAAATGTATAGAAGAAATATACTTAGGGTTATCCAAAAGTAGTGGCGGAGACCTTTTTTTTTCTTATTTATAAGTGAAAAAAATTTTCTTTTTTTACCAATCGATAGAGCGAAAGATGCTCTATTTTTCTATGCTATTTGATCAATATTCAACTAAGAACATTATAATAAAATCTGGGCAAAACCTTTTTTCGTTGAACTCTAGCTGGTTGTAATAGTGCATAAAATCATCTACACGTGTTTTTTTTCGCTGTTTTTCCTTTTTTTTCTCGTTCTTTCATCATCATTTTCTTATCTCTTCTAATAACTAATCATTCCATACACATTATTCTCATATATATTAATACGTCCGTCGTATTATTTTTGTGTGCACGTGTCGTCTACTTGTTTATATTCAAAAAAGATTGAAGAAAATCAAGTTTAAGTCTGATCTTATTTTCTTGTTTCAAATGAGTACAGAAAACTTTCGTTTTTACATCAAAACCCGTACTGCACTTAATATTCAAGCAAGAATTATTCATGATGAATTGTATTCTGTTTATGGTGATCAAGCTCCTTCTCTTAGAACAGTGGAAAGATGGTCCAAGTTATTTCGTGATGGTCGAGAAGAACTTGAAGATACAGCACGACCTGGTAGACCTATCACTGAAACAACATCTGAAAACATCGAACAGATTCGTCAGCTTATCGATGATGATCCTTTTCTTACAATAGAAGAGTTACAAGAGCAAACTGATTTAAGTTACGGTACGATTCATCGAATCATCACCAATCATTTAAACCTTAGGAAAATTACCGCACGTTATATACCGAAAGATCTTACTGATTTTCAACGGGCTGAACGAGTTCGAATATGTAAAGAAAACTTATCAAAATTTCAACAAGGAACATGGCGATTATGTGACATAATTACTGGTGACGAATCGTGGTTTTATCATAAACAGATTGGTCGAAAGTCGTCAAATGCAGCGTGGGTGAGAAGAGGAGATCCTCCACCTACTGTAGTTCGTCAAAGTAAGTATGCTCCAAGGACCTTATTAGCCATCTTTTTCAAGTCGAACGGTCCTCTGCTTATTCATCGTTTGGAACGAGGACAGACTATGGACCATCGTTATTATATTGATAATTGTTTACGTCCTCTTATCGATGAAATTAAACGTCAAAGACCTTCATGTGGAACCCATGACTAGAGGTGTAAGCCGATGAGCTGTCCGGCGGCGGCGCCATTAAAAAAATTTTTTTTTCAAAAGCTCGGCGGCGCAGATTTGAATTACTGGGGCTGCACGGCGACGGCGGCTCGAAAGTCATTTTTTTCCTACCGCCGACGGCGGCGGCGGCTTAAAGTCCTTCGTCGTTCGGCGGCGGCGGCTGGAGGTTTAGAAAAACTACTATAGCAGTCTATGGGAAAGGTTTTGGGCAACATATTTGCTCATTTTTGACTTTTCTAAAAGTATTTTAGTCGAGTGAACAACTAGTGCTAAGGACCAGAATTTTGTGCTCTTTCCAAATATGGGCTGAATTGGTGTACCTATTCTCGCTCGAGAGCAGTGAGGAGACCTTTCAAAGGTCTAAAAAAAACAGTTTGGACGGAAAATTTCTTCGCACATCTTCATATGCTTGCTACTGATATTCAAAACTAACATGCTGAATCTTTTGTTCACATGTCAGCTTGAACAAAGTTTGTTCTACAAAATATGACATTTGAGTTAATTTTTTTCTGACAAAATACTTACATTGTTGTTCAGTTGCATTTTCGAAAAATCAATTTTTTCATCAGAATTCGATTCTGACAGATGTAGTTCTTGCAAAAACAGTCATATTTTTATATGCGTAAAGGGTACATTTTAGTTCGCCATAACATTTTATAAAGAATTATTCGTCCTACAACATTTGCAAGTTGAACCATTTTTAGCGCTTTTCTAAAGAAACATACGAAGGTCACAAAAGCTTTTTTATTTGCCACTGACATTACTTTTTCAGAACATTCAAAGACCTCCTCACTACTCTATGACAAGAACAGATACACAATCCCTCAGACTATATTCGGATAGAGCACGGAATTCTAGTCCTAATCTAAAGTATTTCATTCACCTAGAACACTTAAGCCAATAAAATATGAACAAAATATTGTCGAGAAACTTTTGAATAATTGATGTGTTCAAACTGTGTTTTTAGACCTTTCAGAGATATCCTTACTTATTCTGGAGCAACAATAGGTACATAATTTATGAGCCTATATCTGGAAAGACCACATCATTCTGGTCCTAATCACTCTTTTTTCACTCGACTAGAATACTTTTATAAGAGAAAAAAATGAACAAATATTTTGTCCAAAAACGTTTTCGTAGACCGTTAAATGATTTTTCACATTTCCTGTACCACTTATATTGCTATAAATACCAATAAGATTTTTAATTGAAAAAAGTAATATCAGCTTGATCGTTTTTCAATTTGTGAAACCAAATTTTGCAATAAACATGTTAATTATCGGCTAACTAATTCGGTTTTTTTGTACAAATAACCGAAATGATTCCAGACGAACGATGGTTTTGGTAGATTAGGTAGGTTCATCTCGATAAAAAAGTTTTTGTTTACACAATATATATTTGTCATTTCAACTGCAAGATGAACCTAAAAATGAACAAAACAAACAGAATTATTTATTTATCAATAAACAGCACCTACAAATTTCTGAAAATTGAAAAAGCAACACCAAAAATAATGATAAATAAAAATTACCAAAATCATCAATACATAGTAAAACCATCAAACTTTGAGTAGGAAATATAACTTGAACTGCTACTGAATAGAACGGAATCACTAGGATTATTAATAAGTGAAAAAAAATAATACAACCACTGAGAATACAAATAAATGAAAAATAAATATAACCACCAGGATAAATAGTAGATGAAAAACCGTCACCGAGTTTGTTAATAAGTAGAACGACGTAGCACACACAAGTCTGTTGCTTGATTTTGTTTTTGTTAATCGAAACTTATAATACTGGTTTTTACTTATATATAATGTTATAGACATTAACAAGTGAAATGATTACTTGAAACTTTTAACCCATACAAAATTAAGGAAAAAATGATTAAAAGTTGTCGATGTTTATGAACGGTGTCGGCGGCGGCGGCGGCGGCTCAAAAATTTGAAAATTCTGAATGCCCTCGGCGGCGCGGCGGCTGGAACTAAAGTGTCTCAGCGGCGGCGGCTTATAAATTTTTAAAATTTCGACTGTCACGGCGGCGGCGGCTTAAAATTTTTCCCGTTAATCGGCGGCGGCGGCGGCTCAGCCGCACGGCTTACACCTCTACCCATGACATTAAAATTCATCATGACAATGGAAAACCACATGTTCATAGGGATGTGTGTACTTATCTTGAATCAAAAGGTTTTACAATTATGCCACATCCACCTAATTCTCCGGACCTATCTCCTTGCGATTTTTGGTTATTTCACTTAATCAAAGATAATCTGTCTGATCAAAGTGATTCACAATCATTATATGACGCGGTGGTCAATTTCATGTATTCTTTGAGTAACGAAGAATACAAGAAAACCTTTGAAAAATGGATGGAAAGAATGCAATTATGTATAGATAATCAAGGTGGTTATTTCGAACATTTGATAAAATAAACAATTGATAAACTCGTCCTTGTAGTTTTTTTTTGTTGTATCACTATTACTTCTTGTTCACTATGAAATATATAGATAACTAGTTATTATAAGAGATAAGAAAATCATGATGAAAGAACGAGAAAAAAAAGGAAAAACAGCGAAAAAAAAACACGTGTAGATGATTTTATGCACTATTACAACCAGCTAGAGTTCAACGAAAAAAGGTTTTGCCCAGATTTTATTATAATGTTCTTAGTTGAATATTGATCAAATAGCATAGAAAAATAGAGC